ACGTGAAAATTTAGATACCAGGGAGCGCGCTCTTAGTGAGTATCCTAGCGCATATCAGATGAATCAGGTGCTCTGTTCTCTGCCCCCTTAGGAATAAAAAGACAGGTTGCATAACTGCATAGGAAATTTGAGTCTGTGAAAGCAAGCATTTGTTGTATGTTAGCTGGCTCAATCATGTGCTCGAATGGTCGGGAACGGTCAAAGCACACGTGCTTAGTTGACAGTTTTAGCCCTTTGCTAGTCTAGCCTCCAAGAGTTAAGGAATATTCACGACCGGTTTTCTATTAAGATAACACCAGACTTATGACAAAGAGCAAATTTAGTACAGAAGGTAATATATATATATATATATATATATATCCCTTGCTAAGCGATTGAAGATGTGTTTCATAAAAGTCTGTTGTGAGAGTGATTACACGGGCTTCTTTTTTTTTTTTAATTTTTTACATTGGTTTTCATTTACAATGGGAAATGTGAAATTTGGGCAAAATTTAAAGGACCGTAATAAAACTGTACTTATTATGGAAAGCTTTTCACATTAGAATTAACACAGAATTCATTTAAAATGTAACAAGACTATAGTCAAATGGAGATTGTGATCCAGAATTGTGGAAATACGGCCCTCCATTTATTTAAATTGGTAGGTTTTACGTTGATTCTGTTCGGCTTTGGGGAGACAGGGTCTCTTTAGATAGCCCAGGTGGCCTGGAATTCACTATCTAAACCAGGTTGGCCTCGAACCTTTTTATGATCCTCTTGCTTCAGCTCCCCTAGTGTTGCTAGCACAGCCATGAACCAGCACACCAGCTTAATAGTTTTGCTCTTGCTGCTATGAGTCCTGAAGATCTATCTGCCCTACTAGGCTTTCATTTATCCCACATTGACAAGGTCCCCACCTTTCTCTTTCCACCAAGATTGAACTTGGTGCCTTCTCTCTAGGTACCCTCACCCTGGATTCCTTTTGTTTTAGCAGTATCAGGAGACTGGTAGAAAGCTGTGCTTCAGCACTTTGCTTAGTAAAGCAGCTTTTCCCTGGTCTTCTTGTGTTGATTGGTTAAACTAAGGATTTTCTCTTTTTAATGGGTGAATAGTTCCCTAAGACTGATCAAAAATTAAAGTAGGTAGAGCCTTAATCAGCAAAATATCCTGCCTATTAGGTGCTTGCCACCATGCCTGAAGAACTGCAATGGATCATCAGAACCTACGTGCTAGAAGAGCGGGGTGACTCCTACAAGTTGTCCTCTGACTTCCACACATATGAGAAAAATAAATACATGTAAAAAAAAAAAAAAAAAAAAAAAACATCAAGCCAAATACCACCCCTCCCACCCCAAACACCAAAACCTCCAGCAATACAAGAAAAGTTAAGGCATTGATGTGTTGTTTGTAGCAGATATGGTTACTGATGCTAGTAAGGAAGAAATTGGTTACAGAGAGCCCCAGCTTCACAGAGCTTTTGAAGTGCTTCCCTTTGGAGTATACTTATCATTAATTGAATTCTTCTGATAGGTAATCTATAACTCAATGTAAGTAATCTCTAAATTTTCCTGTCACTGGGAACAATGTCTTAATTGCCTTTCAAAATAAATAGCACCATTTTGTCAGTCAGACTCTAATCTTTACTGCAACAGATGTTTTTCTTCATGGCAGAACCCAGTTTCTTAAATTATAGGCAGCATTTGTAAACTTCACACTGCTTGAGATACAGACTTTGGGATATCTGGTACAATCATTTAGTACTTCTTTTTAAATGATGAAGGCTGTGTTTGTCTTAATTTGATGAATTTCCCCTATTTACGTCATCAGTGCTAAAGAACTATGGCCACTCTCCAGATTGCAAGCGGCTTCAACGCTGCTGGCAGACGTCCAGAGATATTTTACAGTCTTTCTCAACTTTGTGTGAAATGATTGACTACCTGTTGCTGAAGGACATTTGAACTCTCTCTGACAATCTCGGGTCTGTGATGGTGGCGACCAGAACGAATCGCGGAGAGGGAGAGCAGAGGCTGCACCTGTCCCCATCTGTCTGCTGAAACAGTCGTAGGTTGGGATGAGCGACTGCCGCAAAAGACTCTGCTGTACTCTGTGGAGCTGTAGAATATATAAACAACACTCTACGGCGTCGAGAGAAATATTTGAATGCAAACTTCATAATGGATAGTTCTTCCGTTTGGCAATCTAACAAATCTATAGAGTAAGGAATGTCTGGAATTTTAAAAGAAATGGCAGCAAGTTATGAACAGCATTTTGCTAATCCTAAAAAAATGTCATTATGAATCAAACAAAATTGGAAGCATGAGTCATCAATAATGCTCATTTCAGCTGTGAGTCAAAAGACCAAGGCTCAGAGATCTTTGGCTACAAAGGAAGAATTCTGAGTAGACTTCAGAAGAGAGCTGTGAATGTTTTTTAAATATACTCACCAAATCTCAGCAATATTGTAAAAGGTAGCCTTATAGAAAGGGCAGAATTTCACAGGGACCCTTCTGAATCCTAATGA